GATTACAGGCATGGATCACCAATGCCCAGCCTTGACTCTTATCATCAATAAACTACTGAAAAGAAAAAAGCCAAAAGTAGAGCTGTGGCTCAAGTGGCAAAGTGCTAGCTAGCCTTGAGCAAATAAAGCCCAGGAACAGCACCAAAGCCCTGAGTTCAAGCCCCATGACTGGCATAAAACATAAAACAAACAAAATAACTTAGCACAAACCTCCTTTTTTCCCATCATGTCAGGGCTATGCTGACACTAAGTAACTGGTTTACAGATTGTGTTTTGGAACACTAGAAAAATATTTGAGGGGCCGGGAAGGTGGCTCAGTGGTAGAGCACTTGCCTTGAATACATGAGGCCCTGGGTTTGATTCCTCAGCACCACATAAGCAAAAAGAAAAAAGCTGGAAGTGGCGCTCTGTGGCTCAAGTGGTAGAGCACTAGCCTTGAACTGAAGAGCTGAGGGACAGCGCCCAGGCCCAGAGTTCAAGCCCCATGACCAGACCCCCTGCCCCCCCCAAAATATATCTGAAACATGTCTAAAATGCTTAGATTTATTATCTTCAGAAAAATTCATGTTGTTGGTATTAGTTATATTGCAATACATGACTATCTCAGGTAATGTTATTTATTGAATCAGCTAGATGGTTGATTTAAAAAGTTCTGTTCCTTGCAACGGAAAGCTAATAAATACAACATGTCCTGATCATTTACAGATAAATATTTACAGATAAATATTTATAAAATAGCACAAAGAGAATACTTTAGTATTGACAGTATGTGGAGGGGATAACCAGAAAAGGCCTTGTGAATCAGGAAACATTCTTGCTTCCTTTTGGGGAAGCTGAGCTGGAAACAGAGAGGTTAGAGACCATGAAGGGAAATAGATGTGAATAAAGACTCATTTCACTACCCTTATGGCCAGATGCCTGTTCTTATTTGATTTTGGTTTCTCTGGGCTTTGGATTACATTTTCAGTGGTGCATCCGATGAGTGAACTCATCTGTTATGATGACTGGACTTTGGCCAGATTCCTGGAGAGGGCAGTGGGGACAATGAACACCAAATATGGCTGTCCATGTACAACCTTCAGTCTATCAAAAGAGAATTCTTAGACTTTCAGAGAAGACTACATAGGCCAAACAACTACCTTCTCTTTCCTGTTTTTATTTTTAAGTACAGTTATGAGGTCTTGCACTTAGGGCCTTGTACTTTTGCATGGCTTTTTTTCCTCTCTAAATGCTGGCACTCTACCACTTGAGCCACATCTTCACTTTTGGCTTTTTGCTGACTGGTTTACAACTGGGATTACAGTTGTGAGCCACCAGGGCATTAAGCCATCCTTAATGATGTTGGTTCTTATGAACCTTGCATGTCTCACACATGTTTGAGGTTGGGTTTGAAATGTTGAAGGATTTATGATTGGTATCTTTACTGAGTGCAAGAATTTTTTTTAGGGGCTGGGAAGGTGGCTCAGTGGTAGAGAGCTTGTCTTGCATGCATGAGGCCCTGGATTCAATTCCTCAGCACCACATAAGCAAAAAGAAAAAAGCCGGAAGTGGCGCTGCAGCTCAAGTGGTAGAGTGCTAGCCTTGAGCTGAAGAGCTGAGGGACAGCGCCCAGGCCCAGAGTTCAGGCCCCACAACCGGACCCAAAAAAACAAACACAAAGAATTTTTTTTTAATGATTTTACTGTTTAAAAATTTTTGTTGATTAACTTGGTCACTTTTGCTCTATTAGTTGACATTTTTAATGGAAAAACATTTGTATTCTCATCGCCTTAACCAATAATTTCAGTTATATTGTTTCACAGAATAACCTTACAATATTGAAGACAAACTATGAAAAAAAATCCTGCTATCACCTAAATAGTTATAAAATATGATGATTAGATGATCCAAAAATAAAGAAAAAAGAAAAACAAAAGGAAATTATACTAAAATTTGGTAGAATAAACGTATTAACAAGAACTCTTGGTTTCAATAATTGAAAAAAACAAAGTAAAATTGACTGGCAAAAATGAACAGAAACCTTGAGAGAGTGGGTCTAGAGTCCTCCCTGGGGATACCGAAATCCGAAGGGCAAGTTCTTTCTGAAAGTGGCGTTTGGTATACATAGAACCTTCCTACTTACTTCATATCTAGATTATGTAAAATACCTGATTCAGTCAGAAACTCTTGATTTACACCTAATTACTCTGGAGACTGAGATCTGAGGATCATAGTTTGAAGCCAGACAGAATAATCTGAAAGACTCTTAACTCCAATTAACCAGCAAATGCCAGAAGTGGGGGTGTGGCGCAAGTGGTAGAGCTCCAGCCTTGAGGAAAGGATGAGCACAGGACCCTAGTACAGCAAAAACAAATGCACACACACACAGACACCCCCCCCCAAACAAAAACAAACAAAAACAAAACCCTCTTGATGACAAGGGCGTCAAAAGAAGGACAAGGAAACAAAATCTAAACATGTTTGATACATATACAGGTCTTTCCCAACCCATGGTTGGTTAAATACAAGGACGCTGGAGCTCAAAATGCAAAACCTAAGGTATAGATGGCCAGCTACACACTAGAGACATAGCTCAAAGAAACCGAGGGTAAGCATTAGGAACAGTCACCGGGGCGTGAACACAGTTGGGACTGGCTGGATGATCTGACACTGACCAGAAGTCACTTTTGGACAAAGTAACACAATAGCCAGATATAGTATTCCTAGTGCACTATATGTACAGGGAGGGGAGGGCAGGCCAGAAATAAGGTACAATTCTCTAGAAGAAACACAGTATTAGCTTAAAGAAATAGTTGCATCTTTAAAGAAGCCTGTGGAACTGGCTTGTCACCTCTCTGTCTCTGTTGTTGTTGTGACACATAGTCTCTCTATGAAGCTCAGGTTGACCATGGCCAGAATGACCTGGAATTTGCCATTCTCTTGCCTTTGCCTCCCTGTTGCTGGGATTACAAATATTGTCATGGGACAGTGCTTGTTTCCTGAATTTTTGGAAATAATCAAGATCAATTTCAAGGGTCACATTTTCTTCCTAAATGTGAAGTCAAAATTCCTTTATTCAGGGAACTCATTTAAAACTTTAAGGGTGTATCAACAAATAGCAATTTGAGAAATAATGTCCTCTTATGCAATATTTAATCCATTACTAATAGTCACTGTCCGATTATTATATATAAAGTCCTCCCCTAGTTCTGGAAAACAGGAAGGGAGCTGCTAAAATGAATGTGTCCTTCCCTCTAGGAGTTCATAAAATGAACTATTAATATTACTAGGTCAATCTCACATTAGGACTTCCTTATTTGTTCAAAAGCAAATCATAGCCTCATTCTCATTGATTCATGATCCTTTTTTAAAATAGAAGTTAGGCTCTCTGTGATATGGCCTAAATTTTTTTTTTTTTGCTGTACACTGAGTTTGCCTCAGCCTCAACCTGAATGCAGATCTTCACAGGCTTTCTCTTTGTTTCTCCCTGGATTTTTGGGAGAAAGCTCTATGTAATATAAACATGCTTCTGTTTTCTATTACTATAATAAAATTTGAAGCCTGGGATTAAAAAAAAACATACAAAAACCTTTAGCAAAGGGTTAAAAAGAGCTGGAGAGAAAGGAGGCTGGAGGTTGGGGGAGATACCAGTAGGTGGCATCTGTCCCTTCCAAGAGGTGGTGCATTTGGTCTCAGCCTGGAATCTCATAGGAATTAAGGGTGACTGCCAGAAGTCAATCAAGTGCCATAGCACTTCAATGCCGCGTGCATGAAGTCACAAGTTCCACCCTGTTTCCTAGGCTACCACACTTCTGTACTGCCACTTTAAAAGACTACCTCCCTCCTGGTATTACTTCCGAACCCCCACATGCCCTTTCCTTTCTGCAAGCCCAGTCACTGTGAGAGACCCCTGTAGAGACATCAAGCCTTTAGTGCAGAGCAAAAATAAAAACAAGGCCCCCACGGGGCTGGAGCCAAAGCCTGGGGAAGGCAGTGCTATTTTATCCATCTCCCAGGCTCTCTGCCCTTAGGTGACGGATGTTTTCAGTACCCTAACTACTGTGTGCAAACTTTCTGGCCTGGGCACCCTGTGAGGGCCGCAGAGGGCAGGACCTGAACTCACTCTCTTGCCAGCCTGTGTATTGGTTGGCATGTCACATCATGAGCTGCACAAGGACACTTCGATGGTACCAAGGCTCAGATTTCAGCTGCCACCTATTGGCGTGCTGGCTCTAGGCGCCACCTAATTTGGGATTCAAATCAGCCATAGCCCAATCCTTCTCCCTTATATGACCATTCATCCTGTCCATCATAAAAAAGATCCTTCCCCCCAAAATCTTTCCTCGGACTTGGCTATTTAGCACTGAAATCTGGGTTCTGGGAGTATGCCGGTGAAAGGCAGCAATCCTCGTCTTAGGGCGGCCGGTTCGAATCCACCTCGCTCCACCTCTGACTGGCAGTAGCGACCTCGGTTAGATGCGTTTCTTCACTTCCTCCGTTGGAGGAAGGAAGCAATCTTTCCCCTGACGGAGTGGCTGGGTTTAATGAGGTAATTGTAGACTCCCTAGGCCGGCTTCCTGGTTTCTTGTAGGTATTTAAATGCCAGAAGGCCTTAAATGTGGGCTGAGCCCCTAGTGGGGGAAAACCAAACCAACCAAATAACAACAACAACAACAACAACAACAACAACAACAACAACTGTCTTATGCAAGGAGGAAATCCTGCGTGAAACAGCCCCGAGTGGCTTTCCTCTCCGCGATCTCAGGATACCGTCAATCACGTCGCTCAAAACCCTTCTCGAGCTACAATCTCCCGGGTGGAAGGAGATTCCGAGGGGCTCGGGGAGGATTGCGGGGCGGTTGCGGGGCTGGGCGCCGGGCGAGGCGGAGCGGGCGGGAGGGGCGGGCGGGCGGAGGCACATGCGCGCTGCCGCCGCCGCCGGCCTCGGCTTCCCGGGGACAGGAAACCTTTAAGACCGAGCCGCCGCCGCCGCCGCCGCCGCCCCGTCCACCCCCCGCTCCGCGCGCACCCGCCCGCCCGCAACCTCCACCCGCTCTCCCGCGTCGTTCGACCCAGCACTCTGCAACGGCCGGGAGCCCGATCTGCGGTTTTCCCGCCCGGGAAAGGCCGTGACCCTCCCCGCAGGAGCGGCGGGGCGGGGCGGGGCGGGGGTGGGGGGGTCCTGAAGAAGATGGCGACGCCGGGAAGCGAACCCCAATCTTTCGCCCCTGCTCTGCACCCCCATCATCATCCCCACCACCACCACCACCATCACCTCCACCAGCACCACGGCGGAGCCGGAGGCAGCAGCGGGGCCGGGGCCGGCGGCGGCGGGGGCTTCAGCCTGCCCTTGAACCGGGGTCTGGAGCGCGCGCTGGAGGAGGCGGCCAATTCTGGGGGGTTGAACCTCAGCGCTCGGAAACTGAAGGAATTCCCCAGGACCGCGGCCCCCGGGCACGACCTTTCGGACACGGTGCAGGCAGGTGAGCGAGACGCGGCCGGGCCGGCCGGGGCTGCGGAGGGCACGTCCTGCCGAGCTGTCTGTCTGTCCTGCCTTCCCGGACGCGCTGGCCCACCTGCGGCCCGGCTGTGCTTTCGGGGCTGCCCCGGGGGCTGGTGAGCTCCCGGGTGGACGCGGGAGGAGCGGGCGCTGCCAAGGGGGGCACGGGCGGCTCGCCCTCCCCGGGGGTGCCGGTTCCCCTCCCGCCCCGGCTGAGGGGCCGCGGGGCTGAGATTCGCACGCGGGCGCCCGCGCACGGGGCAGTGGGAGGTGGCGGCGGCGGCTCGGGTGCGGGGCCGGGGGCGCGGGCGGCCGCGTCCGTGCGCCCCCCCCCGGGCCTAGGTCAGACCCCCTTCCCTCTCTCTGCGTGGAGGCATCGGTCGCATCCACCCAGACAAAGGTGGCACGTCCCCGGCCCCTCCCAGGGCAGGGGCGCGCAGTGCCCACAGCGGCCCCCGGGGCGAGCGCATCGAGCCGCCGGGCCACTCGGGGCGGCCGCGAGGAAGTGCCGGGCCCTGGCGGCCCTGCGCCTGTGCGAGCACCGCCGTCGCCGCGGCTCCCAGCCGCCGCCTGTCGCCTTCGGAAGCCATCGACTCCTGGCTGTTCACCGAGCCGCCCAACTCCCCGGGTTGGACTCGCGGGTTCTCGGTGAACCCCGACCTTGGTGGCACCCCCCTCTCCACACCTCCCCTGGCCGAGCGGCATGGCGTTAGTCAATGAAAAGTAATTAAAGCGAGCCGGTTTGCCTGCGTGAGCCCGGCAAGTTGCAACTCGCGCCCGTGAGCAGCCAGCGATTTCAAGTTATGTCATGTGTTGACATATTTCGGAGACGTCTGCTCGCTCTTCGGTCGTTGGGGTTTGTGGGCGCGCGGGATCCATAAACAGGAAGGAGGCGGGTGCGCTGGGATGGGGGGGGCGGAGGAGGCGAGGTGGGGAGGGGGGGTCCTTGGGATCCGTACAGAACTGACTTGGTTTCCGACCATCTGGTTCCGCTCCTCGGAAGCCAGGGCTGGCATCCTGGCGGGCGCCCAGCGTTTTCCACGGTAATGGGTGGCCCCCATTTTGGAGACACTACCCAGACCTCTCCTGTCATCGCCTTTTGGACGAGTGTCAAACCCCTCTGGGATTGCTGTCGAGCTCAGCTCAAGGTCTCCAGGCCTTCTGCCCTACGGGATGAAGGAGGGGGGGGGGGAGCAAGGGAGTCCACCTGAGTGGCTTTTAGGAGGCCCTTTTAGGCCCCTCTAATTCAGTAAACGTTTATAGGGCCCTAATGAATATTTAGTGAGAGATTTGTGTTGAGGAAAGGCAAAAACCAAACCAAACCAAACACTCCCCCTCCCCCCTCCCCCCATTAAACTTTGATGTTTGGATTTAGGGATATTTGGGAATGAGCCACAAAAAGGGAATTTCCAGAGTGGAGGTCTTAACAGCTGGAGGAGGCTGTTCTGACAGGACTTCTTCGTTACATATTCTCACTCAGAAGTTATTCCCCGAATCCCCTGAATGGTTGACTTAAACACATCTGGTATTAAATTCTGCTCCCCTAGTGTACCACGGATTGTGGAATGACTGTGTAGGTCTACAGAACACAGAGGCAGGTGTGACCAGAAGTAATAGGTGTTTGTACAGTGCAGAAGTCTACGCGGACTGCCTGAGGTTCTAGAAAGGTAAAAGGAAGTTCTTACATTTGGTTTGCCTTGGGAATGTGAATTGAAGAATGATATTGTTAAGGAGTGGAAGGGGGTATATCTTCATTGTCATTTTGAGTTGTCCATAAACTGGAAAGACTATAAATAGAGACCTTGTCCAGGCAAGAATACTGAAACATGGCATAGAAAATACTCAGAGCTATCACACTAGTTGGTGAACTTAAGGCCTCTGCTTGGTTGAAATTACTTTGAGTAAGTGCTTTAAAAGCAGGAACCTCTGTTTTCTGATAAAATTTAGCTGTGTGAGATGGATGCTTAAACCTTTTCTCCTCTTTGCTTGCTTATGGCCAGCTTGGGTTGTGGATTTTGTTGGATTTTAATTCCGAGTCTCCCTTGCTCATATTTAGTGATTAGAAAATTCTAACTAGTCAAATTTAAAGGCTCTATGTTAATTGCTCCAATCTGGGACAGAGGGACAAATTTATAGAAACTTAAGACAACCCACTAATATTCAGTGTTGACAATTCCTACATCTTGAGTTCTAGAACAATGGAAAGTTTCAGTAGTAATATATTCACTAAAGATAGCTTACAGAATGTCTCTTCAAATCAGAATCGCACACAAAGATCCTTAAAGGTCTTCACATAAACTTTGCAAGACAGAGCCACATAGAAAGTTTATTTTTTTTTCTCCCTGTGAAGTTGTATAGTACAGGCCATTTGGTTTATGCCTTGTAAAAAGTACCTTTTGGCAGTCACCTCCTCAGAATTGCACTCTTGGGCATTGTAGAGGATCTGAAAAGAGTTGGAAAATAAGGTGTAAACACAGAAAAATAAAGGCCCTGAGCTGCTCAGTAGAGGTCCAGGTTGTCACTCAAATGCATAGGAAAAAAATGTCTCAGGCTCTTATTCAAAGCCTATTAGTTTGTGTATTTCTCAATCAAAGTAAGTTTTGCTGTGAGATTCTAGTCTTTTAGCAGATGAGAACGTGAAAGTGCAGAGGGACCAGACAGCTGTGATTAGGCCTGACTGTGTGCACTTGGTATGTGCTGAATATTTGGTCCGCATTGTCCTCACTAGGAGCACCTCACTCACCAGTAGGAGACTGGGATGGAGAAATACTCAAGATTATACATTTTATTGCCTGGGAACCAATGTTCCCAGTGTTTATGGTCTTGAACATCTCCTGTGAAGCCTGAGGGAATAGCTTGGGAGGTGAAAAATTGGAGAGTCTCTTGATGTTCGTTCATCCTTCATTCATCTCCCAAGTATCTACTGTGCTCCATCCACTGTTGTGGACTACAGTACAGCAATGACCCACTGAGAATTCCTGTATTGTCTCTCCTATGAAATTTTCATCCTTAGTATCTGAGGGAATGTGGTTCCAAGAGGAGGTCGGGGCGGAGGAAAACCAGGAATGCTCAAGGTAAATAGAGTTCAGTGGTGGATTGTGGATGTTTGATTTATCTTTCCCATAAAGCTGCCTGACTGGTGCTAAATGCATGCTGCCTTTCAACAGATCTCACATTTTCACTTCATCACTTCACTTAAGCACATTTGCCTCTACCTTGATTTTATTAGAGCGTCATTTGTTCTTTAGGAGAAATCTGAGGGCAGAGAAGCTGCAAGCAGATCATACAGTGATTTAAACAAAACAGGGATCTATGGACTGAGAGCTTTTTTTGGAAATTTAAACTTTTTTGAAATTTCTTTTGAATTTAAAAATTTTATGATTTTTTGGACCATGCTTGGTCAAACCCGTGTGTAACAAATCTGTGAATAAGGTGGGCTTGCTTATACGGTTGGAAGGAGGGATGGAGAGATAAGTGAGATAATTTTGTAGGATAAGTAGGGGGAGTTTTAAAATGATGCAATAGTCCGATTTACATAGACTTTAGCTGGATTGTAGCAAGAACATAAATGACTAGTAAATATAAACTGAAGCATAAAATTGGGTCAGATAAGAAGAGGTACACAGATAAGCACATCAGTAAAGCAACTTTTTTTTAAAAAAAGTAGTGTCATTTCAAATGGAGAAGTTCAAAAGGGGTTTGTGTAATAAAGAAGCCTAGGGCTGGAAATGTGGCTTAGTGGTAGAGTACTTGCTGAGCATACATGAAGCACTGGGTTTGATTCCTCAGTACCACGTCAACAGAAAAGCCCAGAAGTGGCTCTGTGGCTCAAGTGATAGAGTGCTAACCTTGAGCAAAAGAAGCTCAGGGACAGTGCCCAGGCCCTAAGTTCAAGCCCCAGGACTGGCATAAACAAACAAACAAACAAAAACCTGAATCAGGAGGGAGAAATAGTAATGTAGGCTGACTGCCTGAAGTTCTAAGAAGGTAAAGGAAGTTCTAGAACGGTAAAGGAAGTTCTTGAACTTGCTTGACCTTGGGGAATGTGAATTGAAGAACAGTATTGTTAAGTAGTGGACAGGGTATATCTTCATTGTTGTTTTGAGTTGTCTGTTTGCTGGAAAGAGTATATAGGAAATGCAGAGCTTGTCCAGGCAAGAATGGTATAAAAAAATACTCATTGAATATATGTGTGTATGTGTGTATATGTTTGCTACATACTAGGAAAGTTCTCTACTGAGTTAGCCCTGGTTGTGTGTGTGTGTTTTAAATTTGGGAGTGGGGAGTTCCATAGTAAATGATCCCCAAGAAACAGTTCCAGGAAGCTAATGGAGCTGAGGCAGATAACGGTAAGTTTCCACTATAGTACTGATAGGCATTGTGTGCAGAATTCGGAGGAAAGGTCATTTCTGTGAAGATGGTTGGGGAAGACTTCCACAGCAGAGTCAGGATTCAGATCAGGTTTTGCAGGATAGGCAGGATTTGGATTAGAGTGCCCATGGTCATTTTGTGGCTGGAAAGACAGTTGCAAGATGTGGATACTCATAAAACAACATGTTGGAAATGAACTTTACAGCTCGGGGGTGGGGGAGGCGTTGGAGGAGGGATAGTGGGAGAAAAACGAGCAAGGGGTAACTGTTCAACAAGAAATGTACTCACTACCTTATGTATGTAACTGCAATGCCTTGTACATCACCTTGGCAATAAAATTAATAATAAAAAGAAAAGCTAACTAGAAAATACATGCAAAATTATGCAAGCTAATATTTTTACCATATAGTCAAATGTTAGGTTTACTTGATTCTCATAATAAGAACATTAACGAAAAGATGTGGGGTGAAACACTGTCACTAAGATTCTAAGACTCTAGGCATAAAAGCTTGTCCTCAGGTTGCGTCCTCCCACTCCACAGCTTAGGACTTTTAGGATGTTTTGTTAGAGGACTCTGCAAGTGGTTGCAGCTTGTAGGATTAGCATTCTAAT